CATATATAGGTACTACAGGTGGACCTCTCTCAGATTTGTTCATTTTGTAATGATATCTTTAATTCTCTAATTTTGGTGAATATTTTTGTCATTTTTGGTAAAAAGTGATATTTTCGACTTCTTGTTGAAAACTGTAAGTCCGATTGCTTTGATATTACATATATAGGTACTACATGTGGACCTCTCAGATTTGTTCATTTTGTGATGATATCTTCAATTCTCTAATTTTGGTGAATATTTTTGTAATTTTCGGTAAAAAGTGATATTTTCGACTTGTTAAAAACCGTAAGTTCGATTGCTTTGATACTATTCATATTGTTCATTTTCTAATGATGTCTTCAGTTCTTTAATTGAAATGTGCATTGCTAACAGCGGAGCTATCTCAGCCGATAGGCTGCTTGTTTACTAGTTTTATCGAATTGTCAATATACTGGTATAATATAATAGCAATAACCCCCGCCGAAGTTGGGTATACCACTTGATATTGCACAATTCACTCCATATATGCACACACCTGCCGCTCGTGCATATATGTCGTCAATTGTGCAATATGAAGTGGTATACCCGCCTTCGGCGGGGGTTATTGCTTAAACACTTCATTTCCAACAAGATGGTCACACAGCCTTGTCACCAAAATGGTTTCTTTGGCAATATGCACTATATAAAGAAGAAAACATTTTTCATTTCAGGCCAAAGATCAAGTTCTACGAGAGATAGCAGCTGACAGAGAGGCACAGAAGTTACGAATGAGATCACCACCTCCACCTAAAGAGGTTCCACAAGCAAAACCTGAATCAAGTGTTAAATCACCTGTGAGTTGCCAGTCAACAGAGCCTAGCAAAGCTGACATGTGTATGCTTCAGGTGAATAATCAGCAATTGTTTTAATCAAGTCATGATCTCCAATCTTTGTTCTCAGTAGTACATGTATATGCCCGGTAAATCTGTACATCTGGTGATTTTAGTAAAATTTCTTCATCGGCTTCCATGAGAGGTTGATCAAACATGTGCACATCATGCTACTTCCATGCGTGTCGCAGAACAGACCTGGAAATTAAAACATATTCCAATGTCAATACAATTTATTTCCTCAGATTCGTCTTCAAACAGGTCAAATTCTGAGGCAGTCTTTTATGGCAAATGTAACTTTACAACATGTGTTTGATTTTGTGATGGAGAAGAATCCTAAGCTTCGTAATGTGGGGTTTATGCAGCCTTTCCCTAGGAGAGAGTTTTCTGAATCAGACATGACGTCGTCATTAGCCGAGTTAGGACTAACTCCAAATGGTGCTTTAGTGGTTAAGAAGCTTGATGGACCAACACCACAAAAAGGTTTTTAAAAAAATAATGTATATGCATGGCTGAGTTAGAACATTTATACATTTTTTCCTGCAAGTACTTGTAATTTAGTGAGATGGTTTAGATATTTTTTAAATGACTTGAAAACTGTCTGGCCAATCTCAGCAACAGTGAATTCAATCTTACTAAAAATAAATGTATTGTAACCAATGGCATCACAGAACACAGTGGACGCTAGAAAATGTTTGATTGTATCATGGCTAGTAACCATGGTTGCATACGATTGTTGATGTATTCAAAAATACAAAACTCACATACTACACACTTTGTGAATAAGAAATACACTCAGTTCCCTCAGACTCACACTGTTATGTGATTTTGTAATTATTTCGCAATTCATTTGTCTTCTTCAATTTGTACAAGATCATAATTTCATCTTATGAATCTTTTTGTTAATTAAACCCATCATCTCACTACTGTAACTGACAAATGTCTCTACTTCTTGTTGGCAGATGTACGAGTTCTTAAGTAAATGTAGACATCATTTTAGCTTGACATTTTTTAAGCCCATAGTTGTGTAGAGGAGATATAAATTACCTCCTCAAAAATAATCTGTTTTTAAATTTATTTTCAAGTATCAAAGGAAAACTCAGCAGAAGGAAGTGCAAGTGGGTCAAGTCAAGCAAGCCCAACTTCTCCCTCAGATGCACCAGCTGGAATCAGACCACCTGGTTTCCCGTTCCATCCAGCTGCTGAGTTAGGTTTAGAAGAGCAGCATTCATCTAGACATCAGTGGGGTAGAGGCAACAAGATGGACGACCAAGAAATGGAGAATCAGGATGAAAGAGCTGCAGAAGAACCTGTTCCTATGGTGATAAATGAACATGCAGAAGAAGAGGAAGGTGATGATAATGATGATGATAATATTGCAGTTCCTGGTGCAATGGCCGGGTGGGGTATTCCTCCAGGTAATATTTTTTGTGCATCTTTTCTATAAAAAAATGACACCCTGAGAACAGCACAATTTGAGTTTGCTGATTTAAATCTCAGATAATACCAAGGTAACTTCTGTGCTTGTGAATGAATACATGTACCTTGAGAAAAAGTAAAATAAAATTTTATAATAATGATTATTGCTCCCAGTTAATGCAAGCTTGTTCCTTTAGAAAATAGAATCCTTGAAAACAAAAGTAACTCAGTTAAAACCAGGATAGTGCAGTTTGAACAAGCATTTATTTTCTTTTGTTTTTTAGTAGCTCCTGGAAATTTGTTTGGTGGTCAGTTTGGTGGTGGTGCACATGACTGGGGTGCGGGACACTCTATGGGCCATGGTGTTCCTGATCTTAATCAAGGATTACCTGCAGATAATCCAGAAGAACCAAGTGTACACAGAGAAGGTATGATAATAAAATATCTGCACTCAATCCCAAGACACCTGCACCCTATCGCAGACACCTGCAACCTATCCCAGACACCTGCAACCAACCCCGACACCTGCACCCTGACCTATTATGAGCATCACGTTAATTTTGCCCAAATCAAAACAAAATTTCGTCACCTGGCAATCATCACTAGTGAAAACAGAGGAAGAAAACACTTAACAAATGTTGAGACTCTCCTGAACTGTGTAACAAGACTGTCTCTACATGTGCAACATATATAAATTTGGTTGCTCAGTATTACTTCAAAGTTGAGTTTGTGATGTTTCTTCACTAACTGTTTTCAGGGCTCTTAGACCAGTGTTCCAGAAGAGCTAGCACAGAGCCCATAGAAATACATGGTACAGTCGTGTGCGCTAGAGCAACATAGAACATTCTGTGATGCTGAGTTAAATTGGCAGTTGAGTGTGGAAAAAAATCAGTTTTAACTGTGAACTTTTACTGTGCCTTTATAGCAATGCACAAATTTTATTTTTTTTCATTCTACCACTTACTCTAGCTGCTGTAGCTGCTGCTCTACAAAGAATGGCTGCCAACCAGAAACATGATTCACAGTCATCCAGGAGGTGTTTGGCTCTTGAAGTACATTCACTACTGGAGCTATGCGTTTCTTCCATTGCTCACCGAGTAAAGACACAACACCAGCATTTGAATCTTGGAGCCATGCCATTGGACGTTGCCGAAAAACTTCTCAAGGTGATGATGGTGGAAGGTACGCTGAGGCCAAAGACATTGAATATTTTCTTACCTTGGCAAGTGCAATCATCACTTTTAATTTCTCAAGTATTGATGCCATCAATGTATAGCACCTGCATAACTTGTAAACTGCAATTATATGCTGTGCTACAAATGATGATGACTTGATGTGAATCAATCACCAAGAGTGTTGACTGTAGATCTGATGTACTCACTCTTTAACTTTTACCATCCACAGTCGCCTGAGACAATTGGTTTTGGACTGTTACAAGTATACCACCAATGAGTTGTTATTCGCTGTCAGACTTCACACCAACCTTGTGCATCTCAGCCTGTGTTCATGCCCGCTCATCAGTGATAATGGGGTGGCACCCCTTAAAAGTAAGTGCAATGCGCCGATTTAGGAATACATTTTCATATGTGAATACCACCTATGACTGGTGATTCGTATCAACAATACCAAATATCACTGAAAGTTTGAAAAACTATTTACCATTTGACACATATGTTTCCTATAGATTTGAAAATGTCAGTCATTTCACAGTCGCAATCCAAACCACATGTTGTTAACATGAATATAGAAAATAGATTATTTCTGTAAAAGCTCTAGAAGTCTTGTTCAAATTTGTTTGGAACAATATCATTGCAGTACACTCTAGATGTTAGTGGATATATATGGAAAGGTTCGACCGTGAAAACTGAAAAGAAATTTATTTTATTACATATACAATTATATTCAAGAAGATGCACACTGTAAACAAAATCTAAAAAGAGACCAGAAAAAAGAACCTAACATCAACCCTGGCCATTTCTTGTGCTTGCACGTTTGTTACTATGGTTGTACACTCTTATCCACTTTAATATAATTTATTTTTACAGCATTAAAAAGACTAAAACATCTTAATCTCAGTTCTTGCCGGCAGTTAACAGACAAGGTTTTAGATACAGTTAAAGGTAAAGTTTATATGTTTACTGATATCACATAATTGTTAAGATTAGATACCGATACGCAAAATAAAGCTACAGTGTAGCATGAAAGAGTCTATTTAATTAGTTTTCTGAAATTGATGTACATTTTAAAATTGCAAAAAAAATTTTGCTTGAATTTAATAAAAGCTGGAAAAAAGTTGTGACGCATTTTAATGCATGCAACTACAATTACCAGAACCTGAATTATTTTTCTCAGTGTTCAAGAATGTTGTATCTCTTTGTGAGTTGAGTAAGAAGAATAACTTTTTACCTACCACTGTTACACAGCTGATAATATAACCCTTTTAGTATTTAAGTATTTAGTTACATTGTCACTGGAAGAGACCAGTGTTACAGACCGGGGAATGCAAAGCTATTTACAATCTTCACCATCTACATTATCTCATCTTAATCTCAACAAGACCTCAGTCACTGATGCTACACTTCAGGCATTATCAGGTATGCATCTGGTTATTGCCTACTTCAGTATATCAGCATTTTATTAAAATCTGTTTTTTTTAATACTGCTGTTTTAAATAATTGTGTGATCTTGTGTCTTTATTGTGTGTAAGTAAATAAGTAAGTTATTATCAATTAATACTGTTTCTGTTGTTATTTTATAGCTCTTACACACCTCAAATCTCTAGGCTTGGAAGGAACTAAGGTAAATTTTCGTCAACTACTGCACAGATACTTTATTGTATTATCCCGAAGGCCAATTTCATAACTAATTGAATTTGATATTTTCATGTTTTACTGTTTTTTCAGATTAGTCATCTTGACTGCTTAAAAGCCCTTAGTAAACTCCAGTCATTGAACATATGCAGTACAAATCTACCGGCCATTGCTCTTTCACATCTCAAGTCACTGACATCGTTGTCATCTTTAAATATATCAAACATTGATTGTATGAATGGAGATGAAGCGTTACAATGTCTTTCAGGTAAGTCATTTGGTTATAGACCATTATGCATAGTAGTGAGTAGTGTAGTGACAGTATTGTCTTGAAGAAATTATGCTTGTGTTGTTTTCATTAAATACATTATTGAAGGACATAATCTCTTTTCATATTTCCATTAAATATCTGCCAAGGAATGTATTTGTCATCGTCTGATTTACAAATACTTTTCATAATGAACAGGAGTTCAAATCTATGCAAGAAAGAATATTCTGGAGTGGGGGTTTGTTACTACAACTATGACTGCATATTGTGACATGATCCACATATGACTGCAGACTTGTTGTTTTATCTGTAGGTTTAAAGTTGACGCATTTGAAGATGCCAAGTCGACACACAACGACTGATGTTGGTTTAAAGTATATTTCAGGTATTTATTACATTCATAACGTGCGTATCTCCAATTTCTCGTAATACACAACACGCTTGAATTGATACAATATTATAATCACTGACGATAATTTATCGCTCGTTGGAATCCATTAATCACACAACTTGCAAAATCAAAGAATTATTGTTTACTGTGTTATTGCAGACATGCCACTGGTTGTGCTGGACTTAACAGATTACATTCGAATAACAGACGAGGGAGTTCGGCACCTATCCAATATGAGAAGGTAATTGTGGCTAGTGATTATGGTTTTGCTAAACCTAATAATTTATATTCAAATTGAATTAAAAGGAATTAAAAATGTATCATAATTGAAAGCCATACAGTATCTGTACTGTGATGTAACTATTACTTGTTAGCTTGTGCAGTCTCCATATGTGTTCACAACTAAATGACATGTTTGAAACTAATTTTGAGAGTTCAACTAATTTGTTTAATAATGCCTGACTTACTGATGATAAACTCTTAATTCGATAAGGGACACCTTTGTATTGGTATGCAATGAAATAAAGAAAACTTTTTGCTGTTTATTGAGGTCTTAGATTCAGTTATATGAAGTCTTAAAAGTCTTTAACAAGGTCTTAACCTTGAAGAGCTGAAACCAGTAGTAACCCTGCAGAGGGAACTGCAGAATTTGATGTACAATACTTTGAATCCTGTTCAAAGGTTACCTACTTCCCAGCTTTGAGTCATCACAATCAATGAAACTAAAAATTGCCATGCCCAGCCATGATGTACTAAAATAATTTTTAAAAATAAGTTTCCATTTTGTATCATGGACTATGCAAAGATTAATTTGCAGCTACTTTGCAGTAGTAAGTAATTAAGTGAGTGGGATGGATGGATGGATGGATGGGTGTGTGTTTGTTGGGGTGTTGGTAGATGGCGTAGGTATTGCACAGACCTATACATTTATGTATGCGAAGTGGTTGCAATTGACTTTTCTTTATTTCTGACTTTTAGCCTTAATAGTTTATTTCTTGTGAACACAAAGATCACTGATGATGCAATGACACATATTCAAGGTAAATATTCACTTTACACAACTTAACAAAACTTTCACAATATGCTTGTTTCTTTGTAAACAAATCCATGTCATTGCATGTCTGTATTCTTAGTCCATGAATTGCCTTTTTAAACCTTATACATGACATAGATAAATGTTGGGTTTGTATGCTTATAGGTGTTGGGTTTGTATGCTTATAGGAACTATCAAAGCAAGCTTACATATTGGACCAGTATTCTCTTCAGATCTGATACAAAATACTTTGACTAAATGAAAATGAAATGGTTTTTGAAAAATAAGAAATAGTGACTGAAGTATCTGATTCACGTTGCAGTCCAAAACTATGATTACTATGAGATTATTACGAGGATACCTCAAAGTATGCACAAAGACAGTACAGCGAGAGTGTCAACCGACACACAGCGGAGGTCGATGCAAGGTGTACTGTCTGAGTGCATACTTTGAGGTATCCTCATAATAACCTTATTATTATACATCTTTTCCATCCAAGGATACATTGTGGGAATGCCGAAATCCAAAAAGTTTAGAACAGAATCAGCGAACTTCTTTGTGTGGAGTCCAGTCAAACCTTGGTTGTAACTTATGGCGTTACGGTGACAGATGTATAATAATAGTTATTTACTTTTTGTAGTATAAGTAAATCACCCATGCTTGTTTTCTGATCACCAATTCTTATATGGTTGTTTTCTAGGTTTGTCAAATCTTGTTGAACTGTGTTTAGATCACACAGAGATCAGCAATAAAGGAGCGACAGTCCTTGGATTTTTCAATAAATTACAAGTTCTTGGTTTAGCATCAACAAGGTTAGTACAGATGGGTTCTTATAGTCTCTGTATGGTATTGACTGTTTTGTTTTTCTGATATAGTTGCTAATTGTTTGATATTTCCATTGTGTATTTGCATTATCAGCAACTATTTACATTTCCAGGTTTATTCCTAAGTTTTAATTTGTGAAGATCAGTGATTTTAAGCAGTGCATACATTCCTGACAATACCAGGTTTAACAGTACACATAGTACATTTTTTTCAAACTGAGCCCGATGGAACACAAGCACCTGTGGACCTGAACCAAGGTTCACATTCATTAGCCAATCATTTACTATCTTCTGATTTAACAAAAATTTTAATGTAAACTGTTGTGATTTCTTAAGGGTCAAAGTTCATTGTGTCCAAAGATTTGTTGAAATATTGTATCTTTTGTATTATATTAGGGTTACCAGCAAATTACTGAAAAGTCACGTATTAAACAAATTAGTTATGTTAAATAAGCTCAATCTGAGGGATACGAAGATCAGAGATAACGGTGAGTTTTAGAAATGTGTTATGTTACCTGGGTAATAAGATTGTTAGACACTAGTAAAATCAACTGATTTTGATAATAGATTGTACGGCGTAGCAATGCACACATGACGTACATAGTATAAGTTTTGAGACTCAAAATTGTTTTTTGGATGTGCCCAGACAAATTTAGTTCAAAGTTGGTACAAAAACAAAACTTAATGATAGACTTGTGCCTGTCTGTTTAGTTTTCTGTTTTTTGTCCCACAAAACAACATTTGAATATCACACAACGTTTCTCATGTATGCCTGGGCTGATTTCATTCAAACTTGACATTGACATCACTCATGCTGGGTTACATGTCATTATGTTTCACATTTTTTTATTCAAAAAAGGCTGACTAGTAGCTATTTTCATACCTGTTATTCAGATATACAGATTTTGTTTAAAATTTAGTACAAAGGCAAGATATAATGGGATTTTAATATTTAACTGACTAGTGGTCATTTTTGTCAAAACAAATCATAAAATTAATTTTGTTTAAATTTAGTTCATAGGCTGTATGATGTTTTGTATGTTCTTCAATACTACTGTCAAAGTAATGCATAATGGTCTTGAAAATTCATGAAATTATAATTTTATTTCAATATGGGAATATTCCCATACAGTAGAACGTCGATTATCCGAACCTACTGTGTGTCCCCAAAAGTTTGTATGCATGTCTGGCTGTGTTCGGTATAATACAAAAGTCAACTGTGGACAATAAATACTACAGTCGTCTTGTGTGATTTCCTGGTGCAACGCTTTCAATAAAGCTATTATCAACATGTAATCCGACGTCTTTCACGTGTACATTCATTGTTTATAGTGTCTGCGCAAACAATGAAACGAATTACAGTATCGAATAATTTCCTAAATTCAGACAAGCCTATTATGCAACACCAGTGTTCCACTGTAAATAAAAAATGTCCTAAAAACACAAACTTCATCAAATGTCTTCTCCACTGTTTACAGTCAGATCCTTAACTTTACGAAGTTGTAAGTCACCGCAGTTCGGATATGTTTCCCGGGAAAATTGTACACGGTTCCACTGCCGTCAAAGAAACGCAGCCATGAGCCGATCCCATGTTTTTTTTTGATTTTTAATTTTAATGTCCAGTATCAGAAGTCACATCCTTTTCGGAATAAAAAAAGAAAGAAAATAACTTCTGGGATGTCTTGCCACAGAAGCGACGTCAGTTTAATAGTGCAGTGAAAAAGAGTGACGAAACGACAAAACCTTGGTGTGCCTCTTTGATGGTTTATCAGCAGACAACGGCAACCAATGACCACAGTCGGTGGGCCGTTTGATGGTTCACAGTGTCAAAGTATTTACATCCGGTGATCACAGTGGCCAACCTGGATTTTTACATCAATTTATTATGTCAATCGTTCTGGGTATTAAAAACTTTGCTGAATACAATAAAATCGGGACATCTTGTAGCAGTTAACCATTCGAACATCCACGAGCGATTTGGTAACATCGAGCCGATCTATACACAGCGAATACGAAGTAACCTTTCACCTGTTTACTTTATCAGCGTCTTTTATCTAGTGCTGGCATGGCTACCCCAGTGAAACGCAAACGCTGTGTGCTTGATTTGGACGCGAAAGTGTCAATTATAAATCGACTAGAACGTGGTGAAATCGCAAGCAATCTATTTACCGAGTAATGTGTTGGTAAAACGAAAGCTGCTGGATTTTTCCAGTAAAATGGATTCAAGTGCAGGACTGAAACGAAAGATAATGAAAACAGCCAATGACGATCGTTTAGAGAAATCCGTCGACACTTGGTTCCGGGACTTGGTTTTCCCAAGAAAGAAGCAAAGGAACTTTATTATCGCTACATTTTACGGACATTTTGAAACATTTTTTAACATTCCAGCGTGCAACATTTTAATTACAATGTATTACTGATTAAATAAAAATGTTTTTAATGACGTACTCTACATGTACTAAAGTTTGATTTCATTACAGTCATGTGCGTTAGAATGTGTGTACGTGAGCCTGTAAATTTGAGCACGCCCACACAAGATCGCATATCCAAACTGTTTACATAACCGAACAAAAAGCATGTCCCCCTAACAGTACGGATAATCGACGTTCTACTGTATTGTGATACTTAAAATTAAAGTGTTCAGAACCATTTTTTAGATATGACTGTGCTGATTTCATTAAGATGTGTACGAGTTTGAATATTAAAAACACTAAATTATTGAGTAATATTAAGTATTACAAATATTGTACATGAATTATTAACTGATGCATTACCACTCAGTCTAATATTGTAAATGAATTATTCGCTGCATCTTTGCCACCCAATGTCTGTTTATTCGGCCATCATCTCATCACTATACAATGACAAATTCTGTTCAGCCAATGTGTTCTACAGTGCGCCTTCTTTCGCCAGTTTACATTTTTTGTTTTTATTTTCCTTTCATAAGCTATGTCAACTGTGATTGGGTGGATTAGAGGCTCATCAATTTGACATAATATTTATCTAAAAAATAATGATATGGTACTGTTATAACAAAAACATATGACAATAGACAGATGGTCTTTATATAGATGTGATCACTAACACAGGTGTGACTATATGAATTATTGACTGATGTGTTTCCTCCACAGGTCTGGATGCTTTAAAACTACCACACTTGACACTCATCAACTTAGACCGCACACAAGTGTCGCCTAATGCTATTGAGCATTTACAAGGCTGCCCACAGCTAAAGTTCATCCGCATGAAAGAATTACAGCCAAGACGACATGAAGATGATGATACCGATGATTAATTAATATAGCAGGACTATTCAGCACATATTGCAATGTTATTTCTCTTGGTTACTGCCCTCTGAAACAATACAAAACGCAGATGAGAAGTTTATTGTCATGAAATTATACATATATTAATATTACGGTGATTCAGTGTACACCAAGTAAATCGCTACAGACTGTTGAATTAACAGATCAATTGATGGGTATGGTTTACCCAATTTTTTTCCCTCAGTCTTCACTATTCTTGGTACCTTACCTATCTACCATAATATACTGTATGGTGCTGTAAAAGGTAGGCCAGTTCCTGCCTACATTCCTCACCCAGTATGTACTGGTGTGTATGTTGTAATGAGGTTGCCAACATATTGTTTTGATGTTCAATAAATTTCTCTTTTCTTTTTGGCAGAATTGATTTTATGAAAAAGTAGCAACACAATTTTTAATTACCTATACTGCGTCTGTCTGGCAGTGGTAGACTGTCAACAGTCCTCGGGCCTAATGTGATTGTGTTTCCTAGACATTCAAACTCTGAAGGCATTTGATGTGAAATGCGAAACATTTTACGCGAGAGACTTTAGGACTGTCCCCATCTGCAGGTTTCTAGTTGATATGAATAATTCATATTTGATGCTGATGTCACAAAATAAATTAATTTGTGCAAATTTATTCTAAATGACCCCCTGAATACGTTGGTTGTTCACTTTATGAACACAATGAATACAGTCACTCCAAACCAATGAAACAATGTGCATTGTTTGTGGCAGTCAAATAGAAAATATAGAAAACCGGAGGTGACTGTTTTGTGGGATCAACAGAACTACGACATGTAAAGAAATCAAATTTGTGGCAGAGGCGATCGATCTACATCTTGCCAGTTCGTATGCATGCAGAAAAGGTGGACTGAGAGCGTTGACTCTGCATAAAAACATGGATGCATGTGTAGTTTGCGATAACGTCTCGCTGGTATTCTAAACTTTCCAGCACTTTTATAATGCATCCGTCAAGATTGGTATGTGTCATGATATCAAAAACTGCTGTGGAAAGTTTCACGAATAGTACAGTTAAAATAAACTTTGCATAATTTATGGATGATCCTAGCAGCCAGCAACACCCGACCCTTTTCATGATAAAATTTATAGACCTCTGTGCGACTATTCATTTCATATTATAGTACCAGGATCTGGTAAAAAATCTTACCAGTGAATTGCAGTACCTGACAGTCGATCGTGCCTAACGGGGCTCCATACTTCCTGTCCCGGCGTTCACAATTTATTTACGCCTATTACATTTATACACGATATTTTTAATATTACGTACGATCGACAGTGGATGCACACTTCAACAATTTCTTTATTGTAGTTTGCTACAATTTATGGCAGAAGATTTCTGGGTCTTTTACCATATTGTTTCATTTTGTGCTATTGTTTCATTTTGTGCTATATGGTCACTGAACTACTGTAAAAGATGCATTAACATTTTTTTCGTCATTTACCATTTATTTTTACAGTTAAATCATATTTCAAAATTTTGGGTTTTAACTTTTCTGCTGAGCACTTTTAAAGTACCATACATTGAGTCAACTTGAAAAGGATGTCTGAATGTGCAGAATACAATTAAAACAGAACTGCATTGTCTTGGTTGCATCACTATTATAAATAAAATTTTGCATCTTGGTGGAGACTGCCAACTTTCTCAATATTTTAGGAAGAACTCTAACGCAGAGGTTATAACATTCGCAGCACGATTATCACCCTTAAATTAACATCACAAAATGGTACTGATTAAACTCGGCCTGCTATCAAGAGATGGTTCATAACTGTTTAATTATGAAAAGGTTCAAAACTGGACATCCTTAACTTTCTTTTTCCCACATGATTTGCACAAGACATCTTGCCAACTCTGAATAGTAACAGTGCATTGGTTGGTCTAGGCTAGTGTGGACTTGCAGCCATTCCGTAACTGGTTATTACAAGAATTGAAATTTTACAATACTAGGGCACAGTGGAAATGAATCTCAAACTGCATGTATTTTATTGAATTGAAACGCTGACATTCAGTGGTGGGAAAAAAAAGTTTATTTCCATTTCAATGTGCTCGATTCTCTCTGGTGTTACATGTAGTTAATCCATCTGTCCTTAAAATACAGAAAAGTTTACATTTTTAAAAACAATTTCATTTGCTATAAAGATAACACTGCTTTTTCTGTCCTGTCAATAACACCAACCCCCCCCCTTGTTTTGAGTTAACAGTGGGTACTGAACTTCTAAAGGGGACGCTTTAACACTATGTATCTCTGAGAACAGCTCCCCTTGTACTGATGCTATCACATGGCTGGTTTGGGTATTCCAAACTGGCAGTACAACTACTGATTTTAAATATTTTTTTTTTACAAGTGTTCCCTACAACTCCTTTTATTACAGCATCACAATCAATGTTCCACATCATCTTTGTTATGGGTAATAATGTGACATACATGTGAAAAAAAACACTACACAATGACTGTGACACTGAAAAACATGAAGCCAATAGATGACATACCCATAAATGTATGCAAATAATATTCACCATGACAGAATCTATGCAAACAGTTTTGCACTTAGTATTGCCAAAAACATTAGCGAAATTGAAAAAACATTAAGTTCAACACTATACAACTGAAATTTTGGTGAATTCTGGAAGACTTGAAAACAGTATTGACACAAGGTCACAGTGTTAGAGGTATGGAGAGGATACGCTCAACTAAGTCCTGACTGGATCAGCATGGACAATCACAGTGAATGATGGGTTCCAATAATTCAGGACACATCTTGGGGGGAGAGAAATGAAAATCTTTTAAAAATCAGTTGATTAGCCATTTATCGAGAAGCACAGAAAACTCACTACAAGAACGGAACTTTCCAAGGAGACATCATTATAGACAAACATGCAATCTTGAAAAAAAATTATATTCAGATAGACACCTCAAGACACTTAGCTTTATATCTAGCCAGGTTCTAGCCACCCGTCACAGCCAACCCCAATTTCTGTTAAACCAGATTTTTGAAGCTTAATGAAATAATTGTAGGGAACACTGCTATCCACCTCGTTTTCCAACTTTTTTTGGGGGGGGAGCACCTCTCAATTTTCAAATGTAATAACTTAAAATGGTTACTCCTCATTGGTCTAGGAACGAGGATGGAATGTGGAAAGGTGGCAGTGATGCTACGTTGCTCCATGAGTTTGTGGCTGTACTTGAGTCTCTGACTGCTCTCTTATATGTTTCTCTATCTGTAAACAATCAAAAAAAGCCCCATTTATTACCTGATAACTAAGTATGAAAGTGCAGGAGATCATTCGTTTGATAATATTTGGCTGCCATATTATTACATAACACCAAATAATCGCACACAATTACTATTGTTTCAGTCATTCTTTGAACGATTATGTTTTACTAAATATTGCTACACTACAGCAAGTTATTATCAACATTGTCGGTAAATGTACAGCAATTGCTTCCAATGTTGTTGAAGTTGTTTTGCTACAATAAAGTTTGTTTTGATAAATTTGGACGCACCCAGACTTCAAGTCGCCATCATTGGACCCACAACGCATTTCAACTCGGACCTGATCAGACTGTCAGTCATGGCAGAATACTTATTCAAAGTAGAGTTTGTTTATTATCGGGATACAAGAATTATACCAATATATATATATATATCACAAGCTGAGTTTTATAGTGATGACTTTGATTACAACAGTTTTATCGACCGCCTCACTAGCGAGACACCATTTTTACAGCGAATGAACGCACTTTGCGTTCAAATTATGGACGAAGAAAATCAGAAATTGGATTTACCGACAAACAATCGATTCAAACAGTTGGTTATCGACAATCTTCGTTCAACTACACCAGGAGGCATAATAAAGGCAAAACTATTCATTCTGGGTGGTTCAACAACTATGATGAAACAGAATGAAAACCAACCGTGTGACCAACTGCCGGCTTATCTACTGAAGCCGGTAAAATATCAAAGCGGATAAAACTAGACTTTCACTTGGACACACACATGGTTGCTAGATCCTCTATGGACTCAGACAATTTTTTGCATATATTATACGCAGTAGATTTCGTCACACCAACCCTTTTCGCTATGTCAGCAAAAGATATTCCTTCTAAATACAGCTCAACTATCTTTTCGCAAATCGCAGGTGGAGTCGGGAATCCCTGTTTACTGCACTGTGAATGTCACAGTCAACGAGTGCGTGATTGGACAGTGGAGCAGCGACTTGAAGTCTGGGTGTGTCGCGAATGTATAAAAACAAACTTTATTGTAGCAAAACAACTTCAACAACATTGGAAGCAATTGCTGTACATTTACCGACAATGTTGATAATAACTTGCTGTAGTGTAGCAATATTTAGTAAAACATAATCGTTCAAAGAATGACTGAAACAATAGTAACAGCATAACTTTAATCTTGAACTACTGTTAGCTATGCCCTGTTTAAGTAAAAATGGTCAAACATTTTACCATAAAGACAAGACAAAATGTGAAGGTACTACTCCCTGTGATTCAGATATCATTTTAAATAATAACCAACAGGGTTGTAACTTTACCAATGTTTATTTTTCATCACTGAACTGTGTTCACAATAGTTGGCCCTCACATATGGTGGACGGGACCCATCCAAAAAGAATTATAATACAAGTCATCACTTGACATGACACGAGTATGTCCATATGCCTTATACTCACAATTTTCCTAACATGATTAAGGGTACCTTCCTTTCCTTTACAATTCTCCAGGCCATATGGAGGTGATATAGTGACTTCATCCATAACTATAATACTCTTGTCGTGCCACCGACATTTTAATCTGTGAATAGAATCAGTAAGAAACAAAATTCATTCCACATACTCCAATGGTCTGCTATCTATAAGGTGGGGTGCACACATTCGAATGGGAACATGGGCATGTTTGTTTCACTTACGTTTTATATAGAGTGTTAAATAATTTCTGTGCTTCGGGAGTAACGTCAACTCCTATTGAAAATACAGCATTTTTCTTGGCATCCACCTCATGGTTGCACCGAAAATTCAACTACAAAATAAATAATTTATTGAATATTATTAATTAAACTCTGATATCAACACTTATGTTATCAGAAAACAATGATGTCATCACATATCAGGATTGATGTCAGCCAAGTGGGCTGCATTATGGGAGTAATAGTACCACGGTTACCCAGGGTTCTCCCCAGAGCTTGTTAGCGCCAAGGTCCGGGGGGCTATACTTGTGAATCTCTGAGCTTCACTTGGAACCTCTGCACTATGTTTTCCGACCTTGGCGCTTGATTTCACATTTGATATGCCAATATCAGATGTGCAAAAGCTTTGTTTACCACACTGGTTAGCCCCAACCGTCACTCAAAATTAGTGACCAGTCCAACTATTGTCCGATTGTTATTATAATTACGTACCGACCGACACGCATCCTGCCAGTCGTGGATTATAATTTGTAAACAATAATAGACCTAGTCGCACGATACGTAGCGGCTAGTCAAATTTGTGAAATTAGCACCTCTTTGTTTGTAAGTAAATACTATCTGCGATAGACACAGTCTTTAGATCGAAAGCTAAAATTCTTTCAAAATCAATTCCACCTCGATATAACATGGTCAAAGCGGAGTTCACGATCAGTTTACGCTACTCAAAAACGTGTTTATTGCGCGAATTGGTAAAATACATTTGAACTGTTATCATCGCGAATCATGTAAAAACTCTTCTTTCAAGACTTCTTTTACCTTTTAAAAATTGCTAATCGCCTCTTTCAAAAACCATCATGCAGTTTTCAATCGATGCCAACACATCGTGCTATGACATGCTTAACTTCCGCAATGTAATTTTTATAATTACTACCATTCGGAAAACTTCGGATTCTACCGGCATTACCATGCAGCATTTTGATTGGTTAATGGCATTCTCGACCCATCGGGTCAAAGGACACATGCTAATGTTTCACAAACATCATGGCGGGTCTGTTTTTTTTTTTACCAAAGCAATTGAGTGATCAAAACTAATCGCTCCCAATAAAAATAAGTCGGATTTTACTTTAATTTCATATCAAAAAAAAAGAAGTAACATTTATTGAGGAATTATTGGTATAACCGGTGTATAACATCGCGAAGTAAGTTATGTCACGTTGTAACTTTGATGATCGTTTTGAAGTTTTATTTTTTCGCTGTATAGTTACTGTAAATGTAAACGTTTCAGAAGTTGATGGTACGAATAATAAATTACAACAATACGCCAATTAATTACATGGTCGATTTTTTGAAGGTGAATGTTTTTGTAGTAAATAAAATCATGAAATTCGTGAACATATTTCTGGCTTAACATTTTTAATGCGTTTTTTCAACGTTTTACATATAGACAATTAAATTGTGTTTGTTTTTAGTCTGCAGCATCTGTATTTCATGAATGTTTCAAACTCTTCTAAATTGTGAAACATAATGTGTTGATTCCATTAAAAAAAATATTTGCACTGTGACTGAGCTCATTAATATTCATAATTGTAAATGAGTTCTGTTAATTAATGAAGGAAAGGTATGTAAATAATATGCAAATTATTATTCAAATTGCATATTTTCTGGGGAGAACCCTGTAACCCCAGAGTCATTTAAATACTTAATGATATTGATTTCAGTTAATACACAACAAGAACAGTGCACATAGAGTACAAAGTCACTTGAACACTGTTTACCTAATTAATATAGATGGATACTCCCGCCCTCCGATCCAGGTGGGAACCTTCTCATTCATGGTCATCCCCAACATTCAGTATCTTAGCTTAATAATTTTTCTACGCATAATACTTTCAGTCATTTGTCATACATTACATTCTAGAGGTAATTTTGTTATTCTGACATCATTTCTGACTACCTGGTAGTTAGAATGTAGTTATAGTCTTTTTAGGGAAGTTCAAGTCATCTGAAGGTAATCTTCTACTCACAAAACATTTCAATTGCGACAGCATCCTAATGAAAAGCCAGTGACTCGCTATACAAAATGTATCTTAAAGGTCACTTCGAGATCTTGATTATTTTCAATGGATTAGAATAATATTTCTCCAATCAATCAAATTGCCAATACCAAGGTTGAATTTAACTGCCACATACTGTACATGGGTTTGTTTAAGAATGGAAAATACTAACACTCTCTTGACACTGAACTTTGGTTGCTTTTTTTTTTTTATGCACTTTTTTTTTTATGTAACCTTTTTTTCAGCAAAATATCAAGAATTTGAACTGTTTACGAACTTTCACTAGCAATCTGTGGTGGTCACTTATTGGAATATTATGTAAACTAATAGTGTATTTTACATACATGGGACTCACATAGGACACACAGGATCACCAATTAACTTTTTGGTATTTTAAACAGAAGCAATGCTCAAACAATAAGTCCACTTTTACTAAACTAAAATACTTGTCAGTTTGCATGTATATGTCTGTTATGAGTAAGAAAATTCAGACACGTGTTTATCATTAGAATGAACAACAAAGCTATGTCTGGATTTTATCATCAAGTTGTAGGTCTATCAATCACTCCAACTCATCATAAATCATGATTACTGGAAGTAGATATGACTAAGTAAAAGAATCATCAGCATTTTGGAGACCATGTTTGGTTTCACAGTTCTCTGCAAATCACTATTGTATTGCCATGTATTGGGGGGGGGGGGCATACAAAACAAAAAAATGTTGTATATTCAAATACAAAATATTTAAATTTTCACAATCTTCTTGAAATTTTCTATTTTGTTTACATTGTGATTGGCATATCATTTATGATTCTATCCAAGTTATGTAAGATGATTTCTGACTTCCAGATGACATATTTGTTTTAATATCTGCAGGACAGTACATAACACTTCTTACAAACATTTTATGGCATGGCAGGAGTCTCCAGGTAGGTATTCCAAATAAGATTTCATGCCCCTCCCCCAAAAAATTCAGTGACAACAGTAATTTTTTCTCAGCATGCATTACCAATAATTGGAATAGCCAATAAAATGTTGAGTGCCTACTAAAATATGTGTACTGTCATTATCACCACATGCAAACATTCTTGTCCCAGAATGCAATGATAAGCTACTTACCTTTTGTAAGTTTAGAGCAGGTGGAGGTGGTGGAGTTTCTGTGGGTTCTCGAATTAATTCAACATTAGTTGCTAAGAACAAATTAATTATACGTATGTCATAGTTGGTGGCTTTACCACTAGCAGCAGTTTCTGGATTTCAGTGGTCAAGGTTCCAACTTTATGTTTGTGTACATGTGTACTAAAACCGACAATATATCATGTTTTGCATATACACCAATGAAATGACTCTAGGAGTGATGATAATGATAAAAAAATAACATGTCATATCAAGTAATAATACCATGTATACTAGTAGCCTTTCATTAAATATTATTGTCGCAAGTTCAAAATCAAAATGCATTAATTAATGTTATTTTGTAATTATGGGAAATTTTCAATCAAAACAGTGTGCATGGCAGCCTGAAAGAAGGAGCCCCAAGTATTACATTGGCAGGTTATACAAGTCTCTTAGTACATGAAAGAACAGTCAGAAGTGAAAAATTGCAAGACAACTAATGCGAGATTTTAACCCACAACCATCAGTATGTAGAAACTGATATGCTCACCATTACAACCAACAGTTCAATGAGCTGATCCCCAGACTTGCCATGAACTACGATACTAGTATTTAACACGCAATATTTCAACAAGCCCAAATAGGAAACCAAACAGATTGAATATATGCAAATATATATATATATTGACATAGTTTTCCAACAAACCTAGCAGATAGCAAACCATTCACACTGCACGAATGGTAAGTGGGAACCCAGGATAGGAATATTGGAGACGCATCTGTCATGACATGAAAGGACAAGTCAGACAGCAGAGCACAAACTCTTCATGGAATCAACAGCAAACAGTATGAAATGCATTATTGCACAGTCCCTCTATCCCCGATCTGGAAACGACTAGTGTTCTTTTGTTTCGAACCACGGTGCGGGTAAACAAACCGTTCACACCCGGGCCGAGGGAGTCAGACAGATTACAATACCGTCAAAATATTCATTAAAATCGGAAAATTTACCATCATGCAAAGCGATACCTCATTGTATGACTTCACTTTGACTTCAAATTTGGGCAACCACAACGTAAACAAACATGTAAACAAAATTATCACTATGAAATTTGAGTTTTTTAACGATGATGCACATCAAAACCAGCGTACCAACTCATAAACATCCAGTTCATACAATGTAAAGATTAATATCGGGAATTATATTCATCTTCTAGTTTTAATAGGGAAAAAACTTCGCGTACCAACATGCTGACATCGCTAAACAAATCTTGCCAGAATGGCGTCGTTCATGTTAACGTGAACGATCGAAAAACCTGTGATATTTTTGATTCTTGGGGGTTCATAACAGTTCAAGTCAACTAGACAACAACTAATGACTTTATTCTATGCAAAAGTATATAACAATGCTTCAATGCTTGTATATAAATGATTTTTTTAGCACAGAATTCAGTACATTGTCATTTCAAAACATTTCCATTTACGATCTAAAAAGCATCCATAAAAGTCGCTCAATTTAACATTAATAAAATGCGGTGTGACAAATAACAAATCACCCCACCAATTTTTAAGGATATGTTTCGTTCATAAAATGTCAAAATCAAAGACAAATATTGGTTTCGCGCCGAGAAGTATGGTAAATAAAATAGAGTTCATTTCAATCACCCTAAAATCAAAAACGACAAAAATCTGGGTAAAAGTATGAACATTTGTTGCAAAAATGTGTCGCTGCTGGTAAAATAGATGAATTGGAGAACTACTCGCCGGCTAAAATATGACCTTATACAGATATCCTGATTCTAAAATTATTTTAAAAAAAACAAATTCTGGAATAAAAAACTAAGTTGTAAAAAAATACATAACACTGACAATGTAAAAAATAGTGGCCGGCTGCGTACTGATCACGTGACAATGCTTTGCCCAACCCCGCAATGCGCCTTTGCCAGGGAAGGAGGCCAATTCACACCTAATACAATGACCGTTTCCAGACCGAGGACAGAGGGACTGTGATTATTGCAACACTTAGGTTTGGTTCAGTAGTATTTTAAACCATTTTATTATTCAATATACCAGGAGGAATTGACCAGAACAGGATGATCAGTAGGGCATTGGTGGCCATCTTGAATTTATGCAATTACTCATTTTCCCCACACTTTTTTGAAATTATATCGTGGCTCATTAAATGTTTTAACACTCCCATATTATTCAAAACAGCCTGGGTCCAATAAAAGAGTTACATGATTCAACACATAATTATTCTAATCATCACAATGATAGATCACAGATACATGAAATAATAGTTGTGTACAACAGATTGGCAATATGCAAATGAGTCAGTCATCTAACCATAACAGTAGTTTGAAATTGAGGGGCATGTTACCATGAAGTTTAGCTCAACGTACTCACCAAAGCATTAAAAGCATACAAAAAAATATTTAAGAAACTGTTTGGTAGCATTATTTATTTGTATGCAAATTAGCTGTGGCCATTACATCAACATTATAATTCTTTATGTTATTTACTTTCTTCCATCACAGACCGACAAACCAACACTTGCACTAGTTGTACAAATCTATCATGAAAACTATGTCACGTTGTATGTATGTAGTTCAACTGTGATTATGTTCTAGCAATAACCCAAGACTATTATACAATATAAAATAAAAAAAACCTTACCTACTGAGTAGTTGTTTAGCAAATTACCAGAAACACTATATTTATTATATTTGCCCTACAGTGTATGTAACAGAAAATTCATCAAAATACGACTCTGAAACTTGAGCCACAAAACCACATCTAGCATAATTGTAGCCAGATCACAGACAAACCAATAAGCAAATGTAGGTTAGTCCTCAGACCACTAAAAAAGTGTTCCGAGGTTAGCCATGTTCTACCGTGGTAACTGATAATTATAAGAACAATTGTTGTGATTTGTTAGAGCTATATTTCATTTTGTGAAATCCAGGTCAAGAGTGTTACAGCAATTCCAGGCACTGATTTGACGCTGAAGTAGTGCTAGATGTTGATAACTTACTACAATAGGTTACATACTTTGTTTTCAAATTTATACAAGTTGTAACTAGAAATATAAACATCGGCTGCAAATCAGAGGAATGATTGACAGATATTGCCCACAATGTTTTCTATTTTTGCTACAAAGTCAGGTACACCTAGACTTTGAGGCGCGTCTGTCTTTCATTCACTTTTGGTCGGTCATCATGTCGATTGCGTGTTTTCGTGGACTGTCATTTGCTGAGATTGGAGATCGAAATGGTGTTTCAAAGCAGACAGCTTGAACTTTATAATATCGTCAAACGGTTTGTCACCATCAAGAGTATCCTGCCAGGAAACTGACAACGTTATAGACTATGTCGAATATTATAAAACATTGCAACCGCACATTTACGGACGGGAAATTTGACAAAAACTACTTGTGTACGGCGGCAATCTTCCCCGGACGTGTGATCGTGTGTTGCCAGTGATAAGCTTTTTAAAGCGATTATTTGGTGGCACATCGAACTCTTGGTTCTCATCGTCGAGAACTAATAATCGAATAACACCCCTTCTATGTATTCAATTTCATTATTGATATAGAGAATGAAGTCTTCATAGGACATTTGTTGCAGGCGTGATACGTATATTTCCATAGTAGGAATAATGCACTTTGAACAATAATTCTGTCATGATCAGTTGGTCAGCTGGTTCTGTAAAATAACTTTGTTTACAGTGCCACCACTTTATGCGCCCCTCTCACTGAAATAACATGCGACGCAAATTGAAGTACGAAACTAAGCCAAATTGCAGACATGCTGTCTGCATTATTTGTAACAACTTCTGTAAATTTCAAAACAAAGTGTGTAACCTATTGTAGAAAGTTATCAACATCTAGCACTACTTCAGCGTCAAATTAGTGCCTGGAAATGCTGTAAAACATGTTACGAATTTGGGAAAAAATAAAAACTTAACAGAAAAACTAAAGAGAACGATCAAGTAACGGATCAAAATGCATAAATGATCAAACGTTCATAATCATTAAGTTGGCGAGTAAGTATTACCGGCAACACGCTAACTGAATGCTCAGCGTGCATTGCCGGTGACAAAAACACAACACAACATGACCAAGCCACAAGCATGGCGGACTAGAAAGAACTACTCGTGCAGTTTACGTCTGATTAGTTCACACTCAAGTCTTGGACTGAGCACTCATAGAACAGAACATACCTTTATAGGTCACTGGAATCAATAGCGTTAATGAACCAGGTGGAAATCGGCAACACGGACGTTCAATTTGCAAAACTGATTTCATTCAACAGAAACAAAAGGTGGCGAATCGTCCACAACAACCACTGCCAAAAAGCCGGTGGCGTTTTACGAGAAAATATGAAACCACGACATCGAAAAAAGGATACTTAATGCCAGCATTCTTGTTGGTACATCAAAAGCCATCACTTCTCCCTGAACTTTCAGTCCGTGGCACGTTTGGCAAGAGACTTGACTACCAACTTTGAAGTAAGATTCGGGGGAATCATTTGGAGCCGCCATCTTGATCAGCATCCTTACTCGATACCCACAATGCCAAAAATGAATCCAACTTCCGGTTTGAAATGCTTTCTGTATTCATTATAAATGAATGTATTCACCAAATATATTTACTATGAATAACTTTCTCTCCGTATTTCCATATAACAAAATAGCACACAAAAAAGACAAGTGTACAATATGCACTGCATTTTGAAATAAACAAGTCGGTCAAAGATTTTATTATTTGAAGAGCGCCCTCAAAATGTTTAAAAAAGAAGTAGAAATGCTCTAACGCCACAGCGGGCATCATAACCACGTCATAATAATCTGCTTGTTCGTAGTTGGTGTTCTAAAAATAACTAAGACAATTCTCCAAATAACCATGATAAAACACTAAGTGTTTAAATAAATGCTCCTCTTACTAGTATATTACCGCGAACTTTTCGAAATATACAGTCGCTTTGTACAAATGTGAGTAAACGTGAGCTATTGAAGGTACACACTTGAACTCGCAAATCCTTTATTTCTGGGTATTTACTAATAAATTCAAAAGTGTATCCTTCTTTTTAATTTGTGAATAACATTCTCGAAAATGTATTTAACAATTGGGCTGTTGAACCACAGACCCTCTAAAGTGAATGGGTCAAACCCCGGGGGAGGGGGTTCTTTCAAGCAGAGAGACTAGGAATGTGTTGCCCAATTATTTGTAACCCCCACTCCACTTCTTTCCATACCAATATTCTTAATAATTACAAACCGACTTATGGACTATCAAAACGTTCAGAGCATGCGCAGTGTCATATAGATGGGTCAGAGTTCAAAATACGTGATGACGCTAACAACGTTTATGAACAAACCATGGAGGTTAAACAAAATAGCGGAGCCACGAGCGAGATTATTCTCGAATAAAAGTGTTTATGTTTTTTTTTCATTTCGTTTTTTGCAGGATTTTTGGCAGTTTTCTCGAACATTTTATATTTTAAAAAGTGAACCAAAGTACTAGACCATAAACATGTAAATAATCGGTAACCACTTCGATACCAGTTGGTATGACAACGATATACCCACTTGAGCGTCACCTACCTATATAGCTATTTATTTGGAGCACTGTGGTTGTTCCATTTTTCGGACAGCAAGAACGTGCACTAGTTTACCATGCTTTTCTTGTTTCGTTCACACTCTAGTATTATCTTTAATAGTGACGAACATTGATGTATTTAAATATTACAAAGAAAAGATTTTTTCTCGGTTGCCTTATCTTGTAATGATATTCATCTCAATTTACAATTTACCTGATCACGTGACGTGATCATAGTTAAATCAATAATAACGTAATCTGTACAACCAAAGACTATAGTCTTCTCCATAGTCTTTGGTGAAATAGTGTATATAATTTGTATATACTCACAGAATGCATCATACCACAGAACATGTGTCCCTGTTTAACTTCATGTTGTGAGTTTTATCCTAATTCTAGACCACCCGAGATGTTGTGATTGCCAACTGATGAATTTCAACGCATTTCTCCATTTTTAATCAGAATTAAGGCAAGTCGTTACCTTCACCCGGAACCAATGGAACAGGTTGGCCTACCCGTTTTCGCATCAATTGAAAGTTGTTCAATAAAAAAAATTAGTTTTACAGCAATGAGAATTTACGACGAATATTCTTTTCTTTGGTGAATACAAACACGTGAAACTCGCGTAAATAGCGCCACCGTCGGCAAAAATTATGAATTTATTCATGAAGAGAGTAACAATTAGTTGTTCATATTACCACGGTTACTAAAAAAGTAACCGTGATGTTACTACATTTCTAATTTGTTTGACCTGTTTAGGCACTTTCGCCAGTTAAGTGTCGTATTCGGCCATCGTCACACCACAGCGAGGGGTGTTTTGTCTGAGCATCGGCTCCGTCAACTTGGTGTATGTTTTAGAGGCGCATCCAATCAGATCTTTGTATTTTATGGTGGTCAAGTACGCGCAATGTCTCCATAGAATCGATGAGGATTATGTATTTTATGAGTTCGCGAAACCGTGCTATTCGAGCGATGTTAGTATAGCATACTATAGACCAAAGGTGGTTTTATTTGCATATCGAAAGGCATTGTCCACGAACTGCGACCGTCCGAAAACTGACATAGTGACGAACACGTAAGGCACAAGCTGCGCAGTACGTGTTACTTTTTAAGGGAGTGGCAGGGCAACCACACCCACCAATTTTTTCAATACCATGGCTAGCTAGCAATTTCCATAGACCCTCTTTTTCTAAACTATTTCTAAAGCATGAAACATTAGGGATGACCATTAAATTAAAAGACCTGCAACATTCAGGCTCATTTTGTCTGTGTTACACAAATTAAACATAAGTGAATATGCCTAAAGACACAGCTTGTTGTTCGTTAATTAGGTTGACGTAAAACTAAGTAAAGCCAAATCAACAACTAGTATGTAACGTCGTATATCTGCACTGCGCCCTCTAAAGACAAATATTTGCTAACCTCTACAACTCAGGCTGTCCGAGTACTGTAAAATGACTAATTTGCACTGGGTTTAAATTTCACTGATTTATTGTTTCAGGCATATTTAGTGGGTTTTAAATTCACGGTTTTATCATTTGGATAATGTGTTCCATGCTCAATTTTACATATTCACTGGGTTTTAATTTAGCGCATTTTCCAGTCAGCGAAAAAAAGCCAAATTAAAACCCAGTGAATAATTAACCCCTTTACAGTATTTTATTACACGTGCAGGCGATAGCTTTGTACAATTGCGTAAAGCCTCTACATTGTTGTAAATCACGTTCACATCACGTCTCGCTGACCACGTGGTAATACGTCACATATTTTTGGGAACATGTCTCTTCTCAGCGGATCTGTGAACAATTCTACTCAAAATACACACTAAGCATTAAAAGCAATAACTTACCCGAGGTAATGTTGATTCGGTCACCACAAAAATAATTAAAAAATCACGTTATTTTGGAATAAAAAGATTTTCTTGTTTTATTTTGCAAGAATCATATTCATCATGTCAAGTGAAGGATAAGTATTGTTAAACTGTACGGCAATAAAACACCATTCAGTGCTTGTAACAAACAACATTACGTAGTTCATGCATATGGAACAGAAAGACATGTTCAATGCAAATACTTGGAGGAGGATTCTTTTTGCTCTCACTTTTCCCAGTAATTGTTGTTTTTCATTTTTATGTGAATGTAAAAAATAAATAAATAAAAGTATTTATCAGTGATATATGTGGTGATCCCCGTGTCCGTTTTCGTGGTTTTACCGCCATCTACAACCCGTGGCATTCGTCCTTACGTTTATATCTTGTTCGATCTTCCTCGCTGGGTTAAAGGTCAACTAAACCAGGTTAGATTCAACACTCTGTGATAAATGCGAATGCATTCCCATAGAAAGTGCACTCTTTGTGAAGTAACCCCGCCACATTCTTTCTTCGTTGTGAACGAGGACACAAAGACAAGTTTCATCAACCTTGTTTGTGGGTGTTCCTTTCAGGGGGGGCATTCACGGGACAACAAGAAGAAGGATAAAGGTCTCCCTCTATGCAAATTAATTCAGCCTTCTCGATTTAATAACATTGTTGCTGCCCACTACACATCCAGTATTTTCAAATGCCCTGCCACCTCGTTCCAAGCACGAATTTTAATCCCTTCTTTATCACATTCGTTGTATTGTCGAAGCTAATGAGATGTCACGTACTTACATCACAGTGACAATTTCATATTAACCGTTGCGTTGTCGAACATTGCCAGCTAATTTGTTGACAACACCCGAGTTGTCAACTCTGTTAGCAAGTCATGGATTGTGAATATGTTTTGTTGTCAATTAAAAAAATACGGAAAATCGATAAAAAAGAATGATTAGCTCCAATGCCTGAAGTATTGATCTATGTCTTACCGGGTGTGACCGAATTTGTTTGTTAGTTGGTTCACCCGCAAGCCGAAAACCTTAGGACGGAACGGCAGCAACGTCTTAAGCCGATTTTCTTAACGAATACTTCATTTGCAATACTGTTGACACGTAATACTAATCTACAAGTAAGTGCAATTATATATACACAATGTATATATATATATATATATATATATATATATATATATATATATATATATATATATATATATATATATATATAAATACATCTTGCAAGATTCATATTTCATGCATTTTACTTAGACAAGCACTCAATTTGTAATATATGTGATTTAAAACTTCCGCTGTTGCACTAAATGGACCTTTTTTTGTGCCAGCATTTCTATTTCTCATTGATGTATTTATGGGCCGCCAGTTATTTCGTTATTGTTTTATAATTGGCAACGCGCTCACAGTGACAGTTGTGGAATTAAAACATGCTATTATTTATTATGTTCGAGATAAACTGTACTTTATTATGAGTATCACGAGGAGAGGAAAGCCACACAAAGAATAATATGCTTTTAAAAATATTTGTATTACTTTATTTTGTATAAATTTCAATAAACTTGAACGACATTCTTAGAACATGTACGTTTACATATACTATACACACGCACATGGTTTGTCAGACAACATAACTTGAGTTTTCTTGAAAAGATACAATTGCGTGACGGAGAATACAGTCCCCTGCAACCGTACACGTAACATTTTGCGGAAACACATATTGTAGTCACAAACTACGGGCAAATATGGTCAAATTCAAGTTGATACTCAGAGACAGGGATTGCGTTAACTGCGTTCTGTTCCCCAAACCCCCAATATTAGGAAAGGGATCTTTATTTTAGTTAAATGGTTCCATTTTCAATAAAGTTACACGTAGTATACCCCTGCTCGGGGTAACGTTCTCTCACGTACAGAGTACATTGTATACAACACATCGTAATGCGGATGGTAAACAGAATGGTGACGTAATCTCATACAGTTATCCGAGGCGCAAATACGAAGTTTGTGTGTAACTGTTATCGAACGCTAACACCACCATGGCGGGAAATATAATACACTCATCGACAATAGTAATAACTTAAGCAGATTAACTGTGTTCAATTTTTCACATGATTCCAAATACATTGTTGAATGATGTTGTCGTTGTCATGGTAGTTTTCGGATTAGGCCAATCCGATGGTTGGAATGTTGGATGTAAAACTGACATTGACATTGATGTGTTATCACATCGCACACATATCGTCGACTATCGTGACAGGTTTCCTTCAAAATCTCAGGATGTCATGCTGTAAAATCACTCCTACCAAATCTGGTTCATATCCTGGTATCCGGAGCCCTGAAGCATATGGCGAAATTTCAGGCCAATACAAATCCTACCTTGCAACGCCACGTGCCACATATTTTAAAGAAAAAAAAACACGTGGCATCCATGATCAGTTGAATTAGTTAACTATTGATTCGAACAATATGTGGTAGTCCAATTGACCGAGTTTTTTTTTTTTTTTTTCTTCAGGTTTGCGAATTTGGATATACACATTCACTTCATAGTATTTCTAGAAATCAAGCACGGAGTGTTCCCGGTAACCATGTACACAAACATAATATGCGTTGCTTACTTTAAATAGAAAGTTACCATTTTGAAAGCTATTGGTAGAATATAACATCGTTTCTGTCATGGCCAAGACCCTGAGGTTACGATGGGAATTGGGTAGGTTCAATGAAACTCACGTGGCGGTGTGAATATAAGTCCGCAAACAATATAGACCGTGCGATTCCCGTTGCCAATGACAACAAACAGTACTGTACCAAGACACTGAATTATTGCAACATAATAATTTCAAACCCCATCTTAGTCATAGTTGTGAGTCTCTTTCGCATAGACCCAGAGTGGTAGCGGCTGAACGGTACGGCAGATGTTCTTTTGTTCGTGGTATTAGCGAAATCTGCGATCACGTTTTCGTATAATATCAGTTTCCAAACTGCATCGCAGCGGTTGAGTAGCCGGTCGTGTTAAAGTAACCATTTCCTGACAAAAAACAGGCTGTAAACAGAAAAGAAAAAAGAAAAGAAAGAAATTAGTGCATTCAACTTATATTTCAATTGATCGTAGTCGTGTCTTTTAAAATTTAATTTATTCATTTAGTTACATTGCCCTTAATACGTGCTGAATGTTACACTCCCAACCACACACGCAGACACACTCACACTCAGACATACGCAAGCACGTGGCGTGTTAAATATTAAACGTGTCGCTTTTACCATCTAATATACACAGGCAATCCTGTCAATGGTCGAAATTATCAAGAAATCGACCCCGCACTTGCAGCATCGAACGCATTAAACAACTCCGTCAGGGTACGCACTTCATGAAACCTGCGCACCAAAGGGTGTCGACATTTGTTCTCGCCATACTAGTTGTATACATTTGGTTCCCTGATAAGAGACCCTACCCAGCCAAATGTTTAATAGTCGTTGGTTAAAAAGGACATAGAAGCTCGTAAAAATAGCCGTTTACCGACGATGACCGTATTACGCATTCGGATTGGGTTGAATAGGGCTAGGATTGAGTGAGAACAGAAAACAGCACAGGTGGCCCACTCAAATTGTAAGCAATAAATCGGACATGGTCCTCACGAAACCTTAGCAACGGCACACACGGTAATTCTGTTCGTTTCAAATGCGCCGTAGTCTGAATTCGTTATGACAGCTAGTACAGCAGCATATGGTCTATAAGTGGGTGTGAACACGCAGCTTTTATTATTAAATTCAAGTCCAAACACCAATGACGATATCACGATGACGTTATCTCCCCACCCCTTCCTCCTCACCAACCTTGGCATTTCTCCAACTCATTGCTATCTTTTGCATCGCCAACAAGTTTGTCTCCGAGTGTCACCAAAAAAAAAGCTGCGATTGTCACGTCTTATTACGCGGTCTCTAGTAACGTATCTTTGCGACATCTCGTTTCAACCATGGACGTAAACGTCACCTAATCGAACATATGAACCTTCGCCACCTAACCCATATTGAGCGCGGCCCAATATGTATTATCGCGCACTTTTGGGATACTTAAAACTTGCGTAAAATCAATTTATCGCATTTTGTTTTCTTCTCCTTCGTTCAACAAATGTAGCTCGATGATAGTTCACCCGTGAGAGATTCCTATTTTCCGTGGCGTTAACTTTTCGCACCTCTCACAAAGCCCGGACAATCCACCTATGTATTCATTCTCATATTCAGCTAATTTTAATTGGTGCAAAGAGAATAGTCTCCTTTTCACACTTGAGGCATTTGTTACTTATTTCAGCAAATCAAAACAAGTACGTAGCCTTGTAAACAAGTTTCTATTGTGAGCAGGTAATCTTATTCAGACGATCCAGCAAAACCAGCGCCTTTCGTTTGTTTGTTATGCTAAGGCCGCGCCATCAGCCGCAAGCCAAGAAATGGATTTACGACAGGGCTTTATCGCTCGTCACCCTAAGGATTTTTCACATTTTGTTTTTTCTTGTATTTCTGAAATCAATGTACATTTCTTTGCAAAGAAACGTTAGTGGAAGTGCTTAGGTCAAACTTAATAATATCGATACAATGAGCACGTCTGTTTAAAAAATAACTCCCTATATAAGTGTAACACTACATATTATTTTAATTATTCCGGGTTTTAATTTCATGCACAAATACTTCTGATTCGGGTTCAATCAAGACCAACCGACTGCTGGTTAATTGTCATGGAAACATAGTTCCACAGTTACTTATATATTTCCCCAAATTTTCCTTCGTGATTCCCTTTTAAAAACAGAGGTTTTCGGCAGGGTTTCAAACTTTTTTTTCATTCCAAACAAGACGCCCACATGTCTTCTCTGCTCTGTCAAATTACGACGTCCCTGATTTTGCCTATAAGTCAAAGTAAATTTAACTTATTCGTTTCGTGTGCCCGGTGTCTTAAATGTGGAAGCAAACTCACAAGCGGCATGTGGCAACTGGTGGCTCAAGTCTAATAAAAAAATATTTGTAAAAAAACACACACAAAAACATATAGTTTGTGCCGATTTTTCATGTATCGTATGGATCAAAAGAAGAGCAAACGCAATGGAAATTGTCAATTAAGTGCTTAGCTATGATTCAACGGAAATAGTCGATAATATTTTTTATGACTACACAGACGGCTGTGGGACAAGAGAAAACCCAGAGTGTTTACGATGTTTTTCCCCTCGTCATGAAATAAAAAAAAACATTGTATGTCTCAATGTCGTGTTACTAAGTGGCCTCGTTCCCGCCATTGGGAAGCTCGACAGTTTCTTGACGAAGGTGTTAAAAAGCGTCTTCTCGGTATACGTGATAATTGTCAGAGAGGCCGAATCTTTGGCTAAGTCATAAAATTAAATTTGACAAAGGGCTTTTCTGTGTATCGTTGGATCTTTTTGTTTTGCTACGTTTTTTCGCCTTCAATTTAATTAGACAGTTAGTTTGTTTATGATATGCAACTGCACTTAGTTTATTTCATAGGTTTAATATTTCTAATTACAATAAATCCTAAATGTGAATATTTTTTAGTATTTTACATTTCCGGTTTGACATCTGCTCACTCTGCCAGCTATGCATATATACTAGTTATATACTAGTATTTCAATGACAGACTGGTCATAATTTAAACTCTTTCGTGCATTTCTAAACATGGTTGGTAGCATGTTAAACATTGGGCGATAGGTCATTGTACATCACAGTTTTTATTTCAACAATCTTGAGGGGATTATTCGTCAATAATCTAGGCGCATTTTAAATTTGGCATGACCTCCGCAAAATACAAAAAAATTACAACTGGTTTGACAAGTTGTGATCATCATTATAAATTTACAATTATATAAAACATAGGCACACCGCAATTTAGAACAGTGTGTTGTTGTATAGGTGCAGGATTTTGGGGTCATTGATTGTCAGTACTTCTAAATCTCGAAATGCCATATTTAATTCGACCCAGCTGTTCGAGGTCAGGTTGGGACTGCGACTTGTCACATGAATTAACATGCCTGGGAGTTGATAAATATATTTCAATTTGGTCAATTTACAAGTACGCTATGTGTGGCGGCACTCATAGTGCTATTTTAATAACATTCACACAAAATGTAATTTTGCAAATTTTACGAGCAGAGAAGAAAACAAATCAATATATTTCCCTTGTGAACGCTGGGTGGTGATAGATAATACAGGGGTTCTATAACTAATATTTGTATAAAGTCACATCTGTAAACGACGATATGATGAAAATTATCATAAAACCCACCGGCTGTGTTTGTTTCCATGGTTTCAATAAAATGTATATTTACGTAGTACTCCGCGTAGAATGTAGAATGGTTCTTAAGAGCTGGTGACGGCGGGGTGCAAACGAGAATAACACTGCAGCACATTCAATTCTAATTTAAATTAGACTTCTTTTACAGAAATGAAGCACTGTGTAGATCAAATAGACGTATCCATGGGGTATTAATTGTTTAAATAATATTTACAGTAATTTATATTATATTTACTTGTTCAATTCAAACATATTTTGCTGTGACATTAGGCGAATACAGTCGAGAAACACTGTACTCACCCTCTTTCCGCGACGCCATTTTGCTGGCATGTCGGAACAGTTGACATATTGAGTGTAGCAGCACGTATAGTTTCGGGTTGAAATGAGAACACGTAATACTCATAAGTATAAGTATCCCCGGGACATTATTCAATTATTTTTTGTTTCAGATATGATGTGACGCTTCGTTCACGTTCGCCTACCTGTAATTTGGCGACAAACTATTAATAACGTACATTGATTTTCGATGTCAACATAATTTGCGGATACACAAATTATTGATATCCAGCACGTTGATGCATCTACTATGTCATAAAAAAAACTTTTTTGAAAATAATAACAATTTATAATTTATATTCAAGTGACTGGGAATTGTTGCATTTGTAAATTCGTTGAGTCGAACAGATTAAACTCAACGTCGAACAGTTGTTGAATGTTCACTAGAAAAAGTTCTGTGATAACATTCATATAACATGTTTCGATTGGCAGGACTTGATGTTTTGAACAGAAAGGAGTGACGTTGATATGTTTCTCATGGCTTTCTGTCTTAACTGGTTCGAAAACTGGGACAGATTCGTATCATGTGTGCTGTATCCCAGTATAGTGTATTTGTTTATTTGAACTGGACAGCAAACAGACATGCCAAACAGTGAAGATAGCACAGTTCTCAGACAACTAAAAGACACACGCAAATTCTACGTGTTGCGTTGTCCATTTCTTACCTCGACTATTGTCTTGTTGGGTGTATTGCAGGATAGGCGTCATACTAGCTGTATATTTCATGTTATGATTAACCGCAAAGTCTATATTGTTATTAACATTACTGTACTGAGTGTCCATTTCGAACGAAATCGGCGACATGTCCCACTGGCAAGACGACGGTTCTGACAGAAAACATATTTCAAAATTGTCTTCTTTTCCGTTGACAGTTTTAGCCACTTTGAGTTTTTCTTGTAAGTCTGCGGGCAACCTAGCTTGGTCTGCGTTATCATGTTCGTCGTCATTTTCAAAATCCATACTTCGAGGCGACTGAAATCGGAATCGATTTTCTTCGTCTTCGATCAAGACTGTCGTCAGGTGAGCGATCCATTTCGCCGCCAGTCGAAGAATATCTATCTTGGAGACTTCGTCGTGAGTGAAAACAGGGAGAATTTTGCGAAGTTCAACAAATGCCGTATTCACACCTTGTATGCGCCGCCGTTCGCGAGCATTCGCCGCCCTTCTTTGTCGACTGACTCCCGTCAGCGCTCTTTTTCGTCGTTTCGGCTTCCTGGGTCGCTTCGTTTTCTCCGTCAGCACCTGCTCGGTGCTCTCGGTGTCTGATTTCACATCAATGGTGTCAATTTCATCGGCGCTGTTCGTTTCTAGCCACTGAAAGGCCTCCAACACAGCGATTTCCTCATTACCTGCCAGCCCAGACATACTGGCACCACTGCTCTATTCATTGACAAATTCCACCCACTCGAGTATCCACGTTCGGGAAACCCCTCTTCACACGTCAACAAAACGGTGTCAGTTACCCCCACAAGTGTGAATTTACACCTTTGCCTGCTCCTGGTATCACCGATACCGACAAATACTGGAAATTCGAGACGAAATTCCTTCGAAGGTGGCGAATCGCTGTCGGCACGCTGGAAGGTAATTTATCTTACGCCGCAAACAGGGCGTGTGTGGTACTCGTACGTGTGTTGTGGTGACTTTCCGGTGTGGCCCTTATTCTATATGCATAGCACGATACCAAATGGACACTTTACTTTGGGTAGGCTTGGTCTTACTTTGAACACAGTCAACCCCGACATGCATCTATCACCAACCATTCGTGCAAAACAAGGTGTCAAAATGATTGACAACGGCAAATTAATTTCACAAAAAAGACTGTATCTTTGATCGTTCAGCGTGACACCTTGGGCTTTGTTTCCGACATGAATAATGGGTGTCATTCAGAGTTTCCTTTTGACCACTGGCCACTTATTTCAATTAAACACTACCCGGTCTCTCCTTACTTTTCACACACATTTTAAATACGAAAATTAAAAAAAAGAAGCCGTAGACATATTGTGGGGGTCGACCATAAACACGCACTAGGACTACACAAGTCGTGATGTCGAGTTAAAAAAAATTATAGGGTAGGTATTTGTCAACTTAAAGAAAATTGTTTGCCTTTTTACGAATTAAGAAAGTGTGTCTTTTCATTGTGGGGAAGTACTCGTAAATCTTTCAAGAAGGAAACCACCTGAATAGCTACAGATAGGTTCCCATAAACAATCAACAGCAAACTACAACTACTAGCGCAGTGACGTCACGGCTCTCTCCTAGGTGTTCCTTTCATGGTTAATGAGATTTGTTTCGAAGCCTCTTTTGTCGGAACATGCATTCCCAGACACCCCGGGCGAGTGTAGACGAGTTGCTGTTATTGTGCACTGTACAAAACGTTGGTGGAGACCTGAATGTGGTATGGTGGTAAAGTGTAGAGAGTTAGGGGGCTTGATTGATTTAATGCATAAAAGTCTCTAGACACACTGGCGCCGGCACTGACAGCTGTGCAATCGTTCATGCGTGGAGAAATGTTGGTTCCCCTTGATGCGCGCTCACACTCTCAAAGTGACAGAAGTTAAAGCAATTGCCGCAGGGAAAGAACTTTGAGAATTAATGACAGTGGGGTAACAGTAAACTCGTTTGGTGGCATGTCAATTAAAACGGCCTTACTATGAACGATGGTCTGAGTGAATCCACACTAGAAAAAAAAGCGACGATCGGAAATAGAAAAAAAGATCCCCCGCCCCAAAAAATCTGACACACGGTGAACTAAGACAAATTGCCAATGTTTTGCACTGGGTGCGAAATGAGGGCGTTTCATCACACCTACTTTTATGAAGGCCTGTGGTTTATTATCTCCACGCTTGGTAAATCTTGTTTACCGCGTCAAACATGTAAACGGGCCAAATCGTGTGGGTTACAATAAACATATATGACAGCGATGGCCAACACAGTTCGAAAGATCATAGCTTTGAACTTTATTAAAAGTATTATGCTTTTTTTAAATGAAAGAAAATGATGAGACTGGACATGCTTGGGCACCCGTCACATTCCGATGGATGGACGATTCCAGTAAACATCTTCAAAGTAGTTGGAAACTCAGGTGCATCACACACTAGAGGCGCTGGTTAGATTTAATGCTAGTTTGTCAAATCAGAAACTCATTCATCACTTAGTGTAATAAATGGTTAGGAAGAAAACAATGTGAGGTTGTCACACTGCTCTGAATTTACCCGATACTCAGTTCCACGGACATTGAATGAGGTTAAACAGGAAATTAGACTAGTGGGATCCTAAATGTAATGAATATGTATTATTCAATTTATAATGTCTCGTACCTTGTTTCATTGTTCAAACTTTATTGAGTCGAATTGTATCTTCACGACAGATGGGATGTACACTGCTAAACACAAGACGACTACTAAGATGTGCGCTTGTTTCTTTATCACAAACATCAAAATCATTAGATATTTATTTTTATTTTGCCGGACCCCGAACAACGCACCCCGCACCCATGGTGACAATAATACTGGTTGTGATCTATTCGATAAAATAATTTCACTTGATGTCAAAAATCACACTGGCACTCGAAACCTTGTCTTTCACCGACCGCGACCCGTGACATATACAGAATTGATAACACACTAATCTCCTGGTCGTCGCGCCTCGCATTTTGAGATTTGTGCGGATGATACAGAAGTCCAAAGCTTGGAATACTGGTTCAACTTTAAAATTGGTCCCTTCGGTCTTAAATAAAAATAAATAAAAAACTATCTTTTAAACTATTCTGAATAAAGAAATGATTTATTCTGTTCTCAGAAACATGAACATCTCCAAAAATGAATCAGGCGAATGCGTGTACATTCTTGGATAGAGGGGGATATTTTTTGTTGTAAACTCGAATCTTTTAGGACACGTGCCTGTGTATCCTGGTGACAGTGGCTTCTTCAAGCCATACCGTGACCCCTTGTAGAAATATTACATTGAGACACATCACATCATTTCCTCTACATGTAACACTGAAAGGAAGGACATGGATGAATGAGTCGGGGTGCTTAGTAGGCCGTGGCATTACTAGAGAAACAACAGACTTCATGCGGAAAAGAATTAAAGTACTGCTCGGCATCAACGTATGTCACTGGAGGGCGCCCTACACTAAAATCGATGAATTTAGTGCTCGTTAAACACGATTGATTACTATGCCACACTTTTCACTTGTAACCGCGCATGATAGCACATTAAGCCCCAAAAAATGTCGTTAAATGCCTAATTTTCAGCAAATTTTGTATTTGTATCGCGATGGCGATGTTTGAATCTCCGTGCAGTGACAGTTATGTTGCGCCACCAACGACTGTTTAACGATAATAATTAATTGGGTGAGTACTGTAATATGAAAGACAAAAAAAAGCAGAAGTTACATGCATATTGTTAAGTGCAACAACTGACATTAAACTCTCAGTATATTTCTTATAATTTGTTGGCTGCCATCTTGTTCCGTCGCAATGAATAATTTTTATTATTTTAGTCCAGCATTGGAACACATTGGATAAAAAAAAACCAAAGACACTAGTGTCATTAAAAAAACACTCTCCACCAATAGAAAAAAAATTCAATCAGTTCCGCTAGGTGACAGGACGCCTCTCACCACCATAAATATGCAAATGATCATGCAAATGAATCGGGCATTCCATACGAGCTTCCATCAACACCTTGCATGACGTCACGGACTCGTCACCGCGTATACCCGATTTAATCGATTTCCCGCATCTCACATTTACTACACATTTTATCATCTCAATGTTCAGCCATATTTTTCTATTTTGATTAAATAAGCTAAATAATTGCCTCGGTCAACCAGCAAGATTTCGGCGGATATACTATTATGTTGTTATCTGTTGAATGATGACTACCATTTAGAAATTCCCGTCTTCCCGTTTGAGTTGAAAAAAAAGAGTTAGAAATATACAATCATATTTCATAAAATTTAATTTCTCCACAACACTGTAATTTCCCCATATTGCAGCTGCATGGCTTCAAACAGCACCTGGGTATACACAGCCAGTTTGCGACGTTTTATTTTTGTTGACACTGTCAGCGGGTTCTTTGTTGATGTCAGCATTCAATGTTTAGCCATACCACAATACTAGGAAACATCAAAGCAATGCCGCACGCCAGCCTGCCGGTTTCTTTCCCGTGAGCAACACCCAGTCGTAATTAAAGAATGGTTATTATGCATACCACGCCGCCAAGCAACCGTGCTCTGCCGACTATCCATTAGAAATGTGCGCACACACGCCAAGGCGGTGACTGACAGTTGAGAGACGTATCAAAGCAAATAACAGAGAAGAAGAGATTGTGTCGGGGTGACTTATTTACTCCTATATTTCACGGACGACTAGCCACCCAGAATCGTTTCTGTGACGTCATAGATGATCATTACACGAGGCAGTGACAGTTTTCGAAAAGATGGATCAATTTCTATGTTACTGTCGTAAGATGCAATCACTGCAATGAATTCTCTGATACCACATTACAAAGTCCACAAATTGGTTTCGTTTGATCATTTGCTGAGATAGTTTAGTTTAAATGCACTAGCATCACAGAATCATGTAACAATATTCAGAGCATGGTTAAAATATTCGAGTTTTCAATTCTAATAATTAGTCAAATTTATTTTTTAGCGAAATACTTTTATTTTGTTTTAGGTTGAATTCGGTTATGTAAATTTACAATATAGGTACAACGTTGTGAATTTTCCTAGTGTCCGACATGCTAATAAGTCTCCGTCGTGTTTGATTAGGGTCACACATTTGAAACATTTGAAAACGGGAGGGGAGTACTGGAGAAATTTTGTTTAAAGCTAATTCGTTTGCATTAAACAAAGCAATTGTTTCCCTTTTCATCCTCGACAATGTTATTGTCAGAACATCCCCTAGTCGCTTGTTGTCAAGTAAAACCTTATTCTTCAGCGATCGGCACAGAAAATCACCTGTCGTTGTCCGATGGACGATCTGTATTTTCAAATGACTATCCTGAATTGTTAATCAGTGGGAACTCACAGCCATACTCTGGTAATCGTATATGTATTGAGGAACACATATACGATTACCCAACACTTCGTGATAACAAACCAGTGTATAGTTCATACAGTCGTCTGTCCACCTACGTAATGCCACAAACATTACCATAAGATTTCTCCACAATGCACAATATATCAAGCAAGATAGCTGCCAAGGAATAACATCGAACTGGGTGACTGTACTCTCACAAATTTTCCCAGGTTCATTTTGAAATGAACCTGAGGGCAATATAAATATAAACAAAGTTGGTATATGTGTATGTCCTGCGTGGCCACCCAAGATATCGTCCGTACAAAGTACGTGCCACAACGCTGTCACGGAATCGAATAAACCGTGAAATCATTCTATCTACGCAGTATTTCTACCACACTCAAAACTGTTTGATACATGGCATGAGATCAAGTTTATTTGAAATTTATATCCTTCCAATTAACTTGAATCGAAATGTTTGTGAACATTGAGTTTGAAAAAAATGATATCCCGTTCTCATCTTTTATTTAGAATGATCGGTCACAGGGAATCGTAGTCGAACCGTCTTTTTAGGGGCGT